GCAGGCAGACCCAATGGGAAGACCCCTCTGGCTAGAGACGTTCATTTTATTTGTTTCCGTTTTAACACAACCAGTGCTTCAGCACGTCTCTGGAAGTGGAGAGCCCCAGTTCTCCCCACGGGGTCGGGATAGATGGGGTGTCTCTTCTTCCTCTGTCCTGGCAGATGCTTCAACACAGATGGGCCCAGCCATTCCCACCAGGACAGAGTGGGAGCCTGAGATCAAGGAGCCAAGGCTAAGCTGGGCTGGGCTTAGGGATTTTGCTGGAGGAAAATGGACCTCGTCCAGGAGGAGACAGCAGGACTCTCCTGTGCAGCCACGAGGACCACAGAGACAGGCAAGAGGAGGTGCCAGAGTCAGGCAGTTGGAATGAGGGGTGAGAGGAGGGAGAGACAGAGGAGAAGGCAGGGAGGAGGAGGGAGAGGAGGGTCGGGAGGGAGAGAGGGAGGAAGAGAGGTGGAGAAGGAAGAAGAGAGGGAGAGAAGCATAGACAGAAAACCAGAGAGAAACAGAAAGATATAGAAAGAGAGAGAGAGAAACTACACCCAGAGACAGAGACAGAACCACACATAGAAAAAGAAACAGAGACAGAGGCAGAGGGATCCACACACACAGAGACGAGCTCAGAGGAGTCTGTGTAGAATGGTGGGAGGTGGGAGGAGATGGAATATAGCACCCACCTCTGGCCAGACCACGGCTGGGCTCATCCATTCCCCTTCTCCCTGCAGACTGAGGCCCAGGAAGGGGATGGGACCTGCCCCAGGTGAGGCTGTGTACAGACATTAGGACAGTTTTGGGTAGCCCAAGATTTGAACTTGCTTCCCATATGGGCCCAGGGAAACCTGGGGGCACACAGAGGACACCTCCTGCCGTTGAGCTGAAATGTCAGGTCCTCACCTTCCAGGCTCCCTTGTAGCCAGAGCTGGAGTGTGTGACCTGGAGCTTCACACACTCCCTCCACCCCATCAGAGGCACCTGCCAGAGAGAAATCGTGAACTGGGGGCCCACACAATGGGGGTGGGGAGCAAGCCTCCTGGGGGCCACTGCAGGAAGCTGAAGATCCCAGGACAGTGGTGGAAGCAGGGCTGTGGCCCATCTGGCAGCCAGGGCTGGTGGTGTTGGCAGGGCCCACTCAGGGAGAATGGAGGTCCCCTCACTGGGCCAGCTCTACCCTGAGTTCTTGGCTGCGGGTCCCAAATCTGGTTCCTCAGCCCACCCAGTGATTCCATAAGCTCCCCCAAATCCTTTCAACAAATCCCTTTTCTGTTTAACCCAGTAGAGTTGCTTTCTGAGAGGCAGCAGAGACTGGGTTAGAATCCCTGTTCTGTTACAAGCTATGTGACTTTGGGAAAGTCACTTAATTTCTCTGCGCCTCAGTTTCCCCATGTGTAATATGAGGATAATACTATGTCTCTGTCACTGGGTATGTGTAAGGATTTATGAGTTAACACGGGTCAAATGACAGCACAGACACACAGAATCTGGGCCACTGAAGCTGCAGCACGGGTTGTGGGGAGGATCCTCCAGGGGACTCGGACACATGGACGCTTAACTTGGTTCTGCCTCAGACGAGCATGTGTGACCATGGACAAGTCCTTCCCTTCCCTTGGCCACTGCTGCATCTGGCAATAGTCTCTGGGTGAGAATAATCAGGGCTCTGACCCAGCCTCCTACTCTTGCTACCTGTGGCTGTTAGCTAACCACACATCTGAGAATGCCTTGTCTCCAGCCCGAGGCGCAATCCTGGGCTTTTCTCCACCCAGCCAACTGTGTCCTGGACATTGCCACTCAGATGTCCCTCCAGCAACTCAGTCAACAGATCCCCAACTGTGCTCAGCATTTTCCTGGTGTCATCCCTCACTCCTCCCACTTCCCCATCCCATCCCAGTCTTGTCAATTACAGAGGCCTGAGGTCTCTTGCCTCCATCTTTCCCTCTGCTCCCACATCTTCCACTCTACCTACTGACCACGACCACGGACCACCACCAGGGCCAGCTGCAGTCGCCTCCTAACCCCTCCTCTTGCCTCCAGAGACTCTGTGCCCCAAAGCTGAGCTCCTCTGCTCAGGAGCTCCTGCAGGTTCCCTCCCACTCCGCACTGACAGAGAAGTCTCTGCAATGCTCGGCATCTTCTGACCAACATCCACCTGTCTGGTCTCGTCTGTTTCTTCCTCCTGTTACCTGTGCTCCACACAACACTCACCAGTCCTGAGGCACAAAGCATGGTCCCCTCCCCTCCTCTGTACCTATTACACTTGCACTTGCTAAAATCCCGCCTGTCTCCAGAAGTCCAGCTCAGACGGCTAAGCCCTCCCTGAAACTCCAGGGAGGAGACAGGAGGAGTCTTCTTCTGTCCCTCTAAGCTCGCCTCACAAACTGTCTCTCATGGAGGCAGTGCTGCCCCGTGGTTAAGAGTGAGGGCTGTGGATTCCGCTGTCTGCACTGGTGCATAGGAGCTGATTACAACCCTGAAAAGTTACTTCATGTCTCTGAGCCTCAGTTTGCTTGTCTGCAATATGGGCACAGAAGCAGTACGTATCTCAGGGGGCCTGAGGGAGGTGAGGATGGGTGGGATCATGTGTGCAAAGCTCTCTTGGTGGCACCTGGAAAATGATCCACTCTTGGTAGCTTTGTGGCCGATTCTCTGTGCTCAGCGGCGTGGATGCAAGCTCGCGGGGACTTAACAGCCGCTGCTGCTCTCCCACCCGGGCAGCACCTGCCCACTGAACAACGAGGCTTCAGTAGGGTTTGGCTGTCCACAGCAACACTGAGCAGGAAGGGGAGCCAGGACCCTTGCTGATCCTCCCCAGGCTGCTCAGGGAGCTGTTTTCCTCTCTGTGTCTTTTTTTCTAAGGGAAGGATCCCACTGAAAAGGCAAACAGCAGGAGGAAGCAGCGGCCAGGGGGCGGGATGGGGGGGGAGCGAGATCAATCACAGATTTCCACTGCCAGGAGCTGCCTCTGTGCTTTCTTCCCACCTCAGCTGGCGGCGCTGGTTAACGGCAATGCTCCCCCGCCCCTTCCCTAGCAGTTACAGTGCGGGCAGCACGTTGGTCCAAATGAAAAAAATTGTTCATTACATACCAGGGGCTAATTGGCACACGTGCCAACCTCAGTGGTGCTTTTTTTTCAGCTTCTCATTTGATGTGATGTGAGTGGTCTGGGGTCTGGGCTCCGGCACCTCCTTTGGGATGTCATCCTTGCCTCCCCTTCCCCGCCTCCTCCTCCTTACCTCCCCAGTCGGGGCATTTATCACTCTGTATTCCTTTTGTGTGTTGTGATTGTGAGCGAGGGCCTCAAAGCCAGTGCAGGGGCTGGCACATGGTAGGTGTTTAATAAATTGATTGAACAAATATTGTGCTCTGCTATGCCGTGAAGAAGAGATGCAGGCCCTGCCCTCGAGGAGCTCCAGGCTGGTTGGGGAGAAGAGGAGACAGCCCAGGCTGGGGTAAGAACCAGAGCAGAGCTCCCTCAGGTCCACCTGCTGTGGGGCCAAGATGCTTCATCATCTCACTCAGCCCTTAGTCTCTGGGCCCAGTCGGAATCAGGGACCCTGATCTCCGCTGCCTCACCCCACACAGCTCACGGGATCCTCCAAATACAGTTTTAAAATCTCAGGACTTAGAAGAAGCAGGGAAGTCATTCCTTCTGCTTGCACCCTTCCTGTTTTAATCACGGAGAGGAAGCACGTCCTCAGATGATGGAGAAATCTTCCTCAGTAGCCCCACTATCTCTCCCACCCCCTTCCATGAGGAGCACCTCTGCCGCTGGACTCCTCGGAGCACAGCAGCTCCCTGAGCCCACCAGAGCCTTCCGCTGGTGCAGACAGGGGATCGTCGCTTAGCGTCAGCTGCAGGCACTGCTGTCCTGCCCTCGAGCCATCTCTGCCCTTAGCCTCTGAGGGCTTGGACAGGCATGTGTATGTGTGCATGCGTGCGTGTGCGAGGTGATGGGGAGCTGTGCCACTATTCAGACACATATTCAGAGGGAGGTTGCTAGGATGTTTCCGGGATGAGGGGCTTCAGGCAAACAGCCCTGCCCCCCACACACAGGGTCTCAGGGGGCTCTCTGCTGGTGGGCTGGGGCTGGAGATGTGAGAGGCGTTCTGGGTGGGTTAGCCATTGCTGCGGTCCCACAGCCTCACAAGACACTCCCACCCAGCTCCCATCGGACACTCCACATGGCATAGACTCAGGCACCCCAGAACCAGAGCTCATAGCCAACAACCCCCCCTGGCTGCTGTGACTCTGGCAGCCTCTGCGGCGGTCTTCCCCAGAGCGTCAAGCCAGGCTGCACTTGCCAGGAGGAAGGAGGGCACAGGCTGTTTCTCCCCAGGAGGTGGGGGTTGGTCCTGATTCAGACACTACGCATTACCTGGGGTGCGGGAGTAACGCTGCCCACAGCCCCTGACTCACAGCCAGAGGACCAGTCTGGGGACATCGGGGTAGAGAAAAGGCGACACTCCACACTCTGCCCTGCGGCTCTATGCTCTGCATGCCCCACCCCTCCAACACAAGCGCTCACCTCGTCTTTCCTGACTCCTGCCCTCCTCCTCTCCGGTAGGAAAGAGTATGATCATCGCACTCAGCCTAGGGGCTGGGAACTTAGTGTATGTGTCCCCCATGGGTGGGGCATTGGCTAAACAGAAGAAGCCCTAGTGGGGAAACTTCAGGCACCCAGAGCTTACAACGTGGGAAAGAGGTTTGCCCTCAAAAAGCAGGAAGTATTACTTTCTCCCCTTTCTAGGCTCTCACCGCACGGAGCACGGGAATCGTGGGCAAATAAATCACTGCGTTACTGGGGTCTGAAGCTACAGTGGCGTCAAGGCGGAGAGGGCGCCCCCAACGCTATAGGGGGTCCTTAACTCCAGCGGCAGGCCGGTGCCGCGGCCCTCTTCAGGTCTCCGACGCTGGGTCCGGGGGTTCGGGGCCCTCCCCCTCCCTCAACCGTCCTCCCGGGAGGCAGTCGCAGAGCCCGCGGCGGAGGGTCCGGGGGCACTCACGGGTCGTGTTGTACTTGATGCCGTTGAAATATTCTGGGCACGGCCTCTCCACGAGGGCTCCGGCCGCGCTCCGGGGCCAGCACGTCCCGATCTGGTCCAAAGTCGTGTTGCAGTAGGAGTAGGGACCTGGCGACGAGAGAGAGAGAGCGGGGCTCAGAGGGGTCGCCCTGGTCAAGGGGCGCCGAGGGTCGCAGGGCGCGGGGCGCCCGGAGCGCGGGTTCCAGGGCGCATCTAGCGCGCCAAGGAGGGAGCCCACGCCGCCCAGGTCCGCTCGCCTCCCGCCTACCCTCGGGGTCCAGGGGCAGCCCCCAGCCGTCCAAGAGCAGCTCTTCAGCCAGGGCCAGGCTGCAGTTGGCTTCCAGCAGGCTGTGGAGCAGTGCTGCGTCCATCGCGCCCCGGAGCCGCGCGCCAAGAGGCAGTGTGAGTGCGCGCCCGGCGTAGCTGCGAGGGACTCGGTGCGAGGGTGAGCGGCCGAGAGAGAGCGGGGTCCTGGCCCCTGCTCGCCCAGTCCCGACCTGCCGGGCAGCCTCCGAGCGCTGCGCCGGGTCGCCGGGAGCTGCCAAGTCGGGACCTTCCCGAAGAGGAGCGGCGGAACGCAGGGAGCAGCGGGTTCTCCAGCTCGGTGGCGGCCAATGGCGGCGCCAAGGGGCGGGGCCGGGCGGCTCCTCTCGGCCGGGTCCAGCCTCCAGCCCCCGGTCCCTCTGCCCTGCTGGGAGTGCACCTCCTCAAGCCCGGGCACGGTCCGAAGGAGGGCAGCGCGGATGGAGAGGGTGGGCGCAAGGTGGAGGAAAGCCCCGTCCGAGGATATCAAGCCTTGGGGCTGCAGGGGGCGGCCAAGTGCGCCCGCACGAGGAACCCACTGCAGCCTCCCTAACCGAGAGCCGGAACTGGGCAGCTCGCAGCCTGAGTTTTTTCTCCCTGAGCGAGGACACTGAGGGGCGTGACAGGGGGAGCGGAGAGCCCATGTGCAGATCTGTGCTCTAGAAAAGCCTTTGTGGCTTCTGGGAAGGAAGTGGATTGGAGGAGCCTCAAGAGAGGCAGGGAGGCCACCGAAAAGTCTAGGGAGAGCAAGTGTCCTGAATGTACGAAGCCCTGGACCAGGCGGTGGGGGTTGGGATGGACAGGGGTTTCGGAGGGAGAGCCAGCCCTGATGAGGAGGGACTGGAGAGAGGAGTGGGTGGGTGGCTTCCAGCAGGAGCTGGGAGGCAGGGATGACACCAGGTGGCCCGCTTCAGTGACTGGGGGTATAGTGTTGCCATTTAAGGAGATGGAGAAGTCCAGGGGAGAAATTGGCTGAAATTATCTACAGGACTTCCAACACCCGGGGCTTACTGCCTCAGGTTCCAGGGAGACTAAAGTGAGAAGTGAGAACCTGTCTCTCTTCCTCCTGGCTCAGGTGGGGCCCCCTGAAACAGGTTTCTGCATCAGTGTGTGTGTGTGTGTTTGTGTGTATGTGTGTGTGCGTCAGGGTTGGGGGGGCATGGAGATCGCACTCCACAGCAAGTGTCTGCTGACGGGGGGCATCTAGGCTCAGGACACAGGGCCTGGGGTGTGGTATGCCCCAGCTCAGTCTGGGTTCTGCTCCTGCCTCTGTCTCTTGCATGTTACCCAGTTCTTGTCCTCCTTTCTGGGACTGTTTCTCCGTCAGTGAAATGCTCTGAGGCCCCTCCCTGCGCTGAGAGTCTCTTGTCCTGAGTTATGAGATGCAAAGCCTGAGGAAGATGTACGTGAGTGTGTGTGCTGTGTGTTTCTATCTTTAGAGGGCAAGGAGAGCTGGGACCCAGTCCCAGTGGGGCTGGAGGCCCCAGGGGAACTAGGCCTGTGCCCCCTGCCAGCCTCCACTGGGAACCAAAGCTGCCACCGAAGCCTGAGACCACCCTGAGCCAGCACCACGCCCTGAGCAGGGAAAGGGGGGCTGGGCTGCCTTTGTGGGCTCCAGTCTCACCAGCCTCCCTGTTAATGCTGCTGTCACTGCCCAGGCAGAGCCAGAGAGCACCAGGGAGAGGGCTGAGCACTGGAATAGCTCCAGGGCCGGCTGGCTGGCAGGTACCATGGGCAGACCAGCCAACCAGGTCTGTCCTCTGCCTCCTGAATGGACATTTAAAGCCCCTGGCTCCGTGCTGGGCAGCTGCAGACGTAAAGGTCCCTTGGTCTCCACCATAACCAGTGCTGGCAGCAGGGAAGATAGGCTGAGTCCCAACCCCAGCCTCAGATCTGAGTCCTGTCCTCGGTCCCAGGCTGAGTCCTGCCCCATAGGGTCCCACAGAGGCTAGAGTGTGGTTGGCAGGGTCCATCCATGTCTTCAGTGGGAAATAGCCTCCACGCATGAAGGAGGGCCCTCCACACACCCATCACAGCACAGGGGAAGAGAGAAAGCAAGCCACACAGAGTTATTCACTTGCTCATCACCAGCGCCTCTGTGCAGGGAAGCCGCCGTATAGGGGGTGCGCACCCAGTACCAGAGGCCAAGGACTTCTCGTCTCACATGCAGCTGTCTGCAGAACAGAAGATTGACCTGGGGAACCTGGATTGCTCCTAACTGGGAGAGCACATGGAATAAAGATTCTTCTGGGAAGTGACCATTTTGGTGGCAGAGCCAAAGTCTGTTCTGCATCTTGACTGGAGCACAGACCCACAGACCCAAGGTCCCTGGTTTCCAGGATGCAGGGCCATTTCTGCATGGATCTGATCGTTATAGGCACGAGTCTCTGTCATTCTAGACGTGACCAAGAGGAAGCTATAAAAGGTGGCAGCTTTGGGACAAATTGATTTTACAGCTCACTTTAGTGTTTGCAAATAGGCAAATGAGGAAGATATGAGAGAGAGCAAACACTTTCCTCAATTAGATTAAATCCAACTCCAAATAAACAAAGTCTGGGGCCTTTTTGCTAACTAAGGAAGCGGAGGTGGATGGGCGGTCCCTGGGATGGAAGTGGGCCCTCCAGCCAGGCAGTGGGGGAGAGGTATTTGGGCAGCCTGTGTGTCCCCAGGCTGGTGGGACAGGTTGCAAATAAGTTCCAGAAGTGAGACAGATGCTGGGGAAGATGCTAGTGTGTCATGAGCAGTATGGGATGAGGCAGGCGCCTCTGGCCCACCCCTGATGGTAGCTGCAGTGGCAGTGGACAGTTCCAGGCAAGCTCAGACACACATCATGGTCCTCCAGGGCACAGCCTAATAATGCCCGGCACCAAACAGACATGCAGAACACAATGGAAACACACACAGCATCACACACAGTCACACTTCTTCACCGCATCATACACATTCTCTTGTTCGTCACACCACCCAACAAATGTCAGCTGGGAAACAGGATGTGAGGGGACAGAGTCTGTCTTTACATCTCTGAAGGGCTGTCCTCAGTCAGACTGAATAGATAGGGAGTACACAGAGCTGGGACAAAGTTGTGGGGTTTGCTGGGAGTTACAGTGGGGCCACCGAGGGCATGGAGGCTCAGAGAGCCCTAAAGGTGCCCACTCTTGCCTTATGGCACTGGGGATGGTGTGCCCAGGCCAGATACATCTTCCTTACCTGACCTCTGCACAGGGGATATGGCCTGGTTTGCTCATATCAAGCCATGGGACCAGGCTGCAGGACCGGGGAGGGGAGGCCGTGGCGACCTTCCAATCCTGTGTTCTCATTTACAGATGGGCAAAGGCAGGCCCAGAGGAGGAAGAGGAATCCTTGCTCCAGCCCATCCTGGGCCATCCTCATCTCTGCAGCAGCCCAGCTGGGCTCCTGGGCTCCTCCACTGGGCAGTGGTTTTCCTATAATTAAGATCACGTCACCCTCCTCACAAGAGTGGCTCCCCATGGCTCTCAGGTTGGAGCCCAGCTCTTAGCATGGCAAAGAACATTCTTCATGGTTGTCCATCCTCCATCCTCTCCCTCCTGCTCAACTTGAGATGCCCTTGGGAACAACCTCATTCCCTGCAACCATTCTGTCCCCCCACATCTTTGCATGTGCTGTTCCCTCTACCAGAGGGGGAAGGGCCTCAAGGCTCTATACTCCAGTTAGCCTGGCTGCCTCCCACTCGTCCTTCAACCGTTCAGCTAGCTCTCACCTCCTCTGTCTCATCTGGGTGGGGCGGCCCTCCTTGGTGCCCCATCTGCTGGGGGGCTGGTCTATGTCACACCAAGGTTGTTGGTTTTTCCACTGTTGCCTCTGCCAGCCTGTGACTCCCCAAGGGCAGGGCTGGTGTGTTCACTAAATGGCCCCAGCACCATCAGAATGTTCCAGGCCGCCTGTGCTCAGAGTCATTACTGAAAGAAGAAACGCCTTGGCAGCAGCCCTGTCTTCCAGGCCAAGGCTGTCTTCCATTTGACCAGCCCTGAAGTGTGTGTGTGTGTGTGTGTTTTGGATTGGGGAGTTATTTCAAGGGATCCTTGAGCCCATTCAGACCCTTATATTGCCTATGGACCGAATAACTAATACGTCTTGCAATATATGTCCTATTAGATGCCTCTGTGATCAACAAAACAGAAATAACCCATTTAAAGCCCGCCCGGAGTCTGTTGTGATTATGTGTGTTTTTCCTTTATTTGGACCTCAGGGGCACACAATTTAATTGGTCGCAGTCTTTGATTCATGACCCCGTGTCATCATTAGCCCACACATGGCCCAACTTTATTGTATTTCAGTCTTGCCTCTTATGGAAGATTGTATGTTGTAGTAAATATAGTGAATCTGTCACCTAGTCCAAAACTAGACCATTACTAGGCACATATTTATCCACAGGCTCCTGCCCCAGAGGGAACATTCTCTTGAATATCGCGTCTATCATTCCCTTGCTCTTAGTTTTTTTTCAGTTCTATCACACAGATGGATGGATGGATGTCTAAACAATAGATTGTTGGTTTTACTTGTTTTTGAACTTTGTCAGTCATTATGCATTTTTTTCAATCGGTAGACTCTAAAAAGGAGATCACTTCCACGTGGGGACCTGAGAAACTCTTCCTGAAGTCCAAAGGCATCCTGACAGCCTGCCCATCCCACCTGAGGGGCCCGGTTAATAAAGGATGCTGTGCTCCCACGGCGGCTGCCGGGCAGCATCGACAACAATGTGGTGGAGGGACATTTAATGACATGGGGAACATTTAATGACTGTGAATTCTAAGAGGAGAAAGCAGGTTACAAAACTGTGAACAGGGGATCATCCCAGTTTTGAGGAAATGAAAAAAAAAAAAGAGAAAAAACATGAGGCTCTATGGATCGATAAACTCCTAGGGGATATAAACATTGTAAAAATTCCTGGGTTATGGGATAATGAGCACTTCTTGTCTTCTTTCACTTTTAAAAATATTTTTTCCAAATTATATGTGTATAACTTGTATCCTGTTTGTCAATAGATGATTGATATTACAAGGCAAGCAGGGGAGGCTGGACTCAGAGGAGGGGAGCATGGAGTACCATGAACCAGGGATCATGGGGAGGCAAGGGTCTGTGCCACACTCTGGAGGGGAGGGAGGGCGGGGAGAAGTGGCGGGCCTGCTGGTGAACCAGCGCTGCCTCTGAGAGCAAAGAGCTCCGGTGAGGGGGAAGTTGGGGCCTTCCTGAAATAGGGGGCTTCCATTTCCTGCCTGATGGCTGCTTGACATGACCCATGCTGGGGTCTCCATGGTCTCTTGTTCAACCTTCATAGTAAACCCTTAAGGTCAAATTAGCCCCGTTCCTAACAGATGAGGAAACTGAGGCTCAGATGCTATTATTG